GTAGACTTGTTCCATATGTGTCTCTTTCTAGAAAAGAAGCAGCTAAGCAGACAAGCTCTAAGCCAGTTTTCATGCCAAAACGAATTAAATAAGGCACATTCAATTGAAAGCTGAGCCCTCTGCTACGTCTACGAGGGAAACTGTCATGATCCTGACGCTGATGGGTGGCTTTTTCAGCTGACCCTGCTCACCTGTCTAACTGGCCCCGCAGCTGATTATCGCTGATCTGTTTCACCGGGTTCCCACAAGCGGCAGACTTTCTCCCCCCAGATTTCTCCTCTCCCTCTGGATTCGTACTGAACTCTCACCCACGTCAGTGACTTTTTCGTCTAGTCGTGATCTGCTCGACATTCTTGTCACTGACCGGAGTTTCCTGTCTCTGCAGAGAATCCAGTAGTCCACCCAGAAGACGTTCACTTAAGCTTGGAATAAAACTTGTTTTGTAAACTGTCCTGATTTTGTCTGCTTGAATATTGGGTCCAAGGTTCTGGGGTCATTACAGAAACAGGACTACACAATGGAAAACAGACCTATCATCTGTATTCAAAGGTTTCTCTGAAGTAGTCTATTTGATATTTTTTCCTCAGGATGGTGTCACAGACAAACAAGACCAGACTAGATGAAGAAAAAAACAAAGAAAACAAAAATGCTATTTATTTTGATGTTAAGTCATTTAGGTATTTATGGACTATGCAAGGTATTTTAGAGTCTATTCTCTGAAATACAGGAAGCCAATATAAGGTTGGCCAAACAAATGAAGGCCCTATTTCTTACTAAAACACTGCTGTTTATATGAAACAACAGTACAGCTCAGCATAGTTCATGAAATCTGAATCAAATGTCCTCTGAGACACAAATGCAGTAAGAAATTAAAAATGATTTCTTTGACTCCTCTTTGTAATTGGTGAATGATTTCTAAGAAATAAAAGCTGAAATCCTGACAAATATGTGAAAGGTTATTGAGTAAGACCTTTGAAATCAGTTGGTTACACACAGCTGTTGCAGTTTAACCAAGTTTCCTAATCTGCTTGACCTTTCTCAATTGTGAGAAGTTGCTTTTATTTGCAGAAGTTTTTGTCACTGTTCATTAGTACAGAAAATACACTTGTTATACACTCTTGATTAGTAAAAAAACTGTAAAAAAACAACAACGAAAAAACCCCAAACATTAGCATTTCATACAGTAACATCATGAATAGAGTGGAAGTAGAGTTTCAAATTACAAAAAGAAGAAATATTAGCAAATAGAAAAACTAGTCCGGCAAGTAGAAAAAATATAAATCAAGAAGATTCGTTATCTGATTAAAACTCTATGATAATTAAAAAAAATGAAAAAGAGGACAGAGCGAGCAGTCCTAGTGTTCCTGTTGCTCATTTAAGAAGTTTTTTCTTAAGATCTTTTGCAAGCTTTTGGGAACATTGATTTGCAGTGAGGATAATTTTCATAAAGGGCATCCACCGCCTCAAACTCACATCCATTTTCATAAACATTTGCCATCCTCTATCGATTTCAATTTGATCGAATACAGAGGCACAAGCAGGCTGCCCTCTAGGAAGCCTTACCACAGCACACTACCTCTGCACAAACCTCCACTTTTAACCTTAATTTATTACACCTTTTTTGAATTTTTAATCACCTTTAACCTGATTATCTTTTGTTGTTCTGTATGTTGTTTTGCAATGGAAAGTATTTATTCTGTTTTATTTTAAAATACAGTGACAATAAAAGACTCTAGTTCTTATCCTGGGGATATTCAAAAAAGGCACTTTATTCTCCAAGAAGTCCTTTTTCAGACAGGCATAATGTAAACACCAGGATTGTCCTTTGGACTCCTAATACTCCAATAAGTAATAGGAGTGATTACTTATTGTTTATTAATTGATATGATTAGTGACTCAAGAAAGACAGTATCCAGGAATGTGTTTACTATACTAGGTTTGTCTTTTAGATCCTAGATATTATTCACCTGCAATATATGCAAATAGCTTTAATTTGTTACCCAGTATGACAATTTTCTTCCAGTGATTATTATACAGCAAGAAAAAACTGTTTTATTTAACATTACATGGTTTAGATTTTGCATTTTGTTTCTAATTGGTGGCGTAAATGGATTGTGGAATGTTAAATTGAGCTATGCTTCAAGCAGTGGCGGCTGGTGAAAAATATTTTTGGTGGGGCTGATATAGCCTAGTGTATGTCTCCAACTAATCCGGAATAAGAATTCAAATAAACAATTGGACAATACATACAATTTAAGAGTAATGATTTAATTTACTATATAATAACAGTGATGATTTGGGTCACTGTGACGGGGTTCTTTGGCCTCCAAGAATCCAGGCTCAGTCGGGTTACCGGTGTTGGTGATTTATTGAGCTCAAAAACTCAAAACAGGGTGCAAAAGAAACTAAACATGTACAAGATACTCTGGGCCTCAGCCTCCCTCCAGTTACCAGCAATGTAACAAAGAAACAGAAAACAAAAATTGCCGCTTTTCTTCCCACAGCCCTCATTAAATAGTTTAAGCCCCTCACCTCAGGCTCTCTTATTTCTGATTTCTTCTCATTAATCGGTTTTGTCCATATATTACCTCCACAAACAATTGATGTACAAAAACAAATAATTTTTACAACTTAATTCTTTTACACAGATTCATTGACTTATTCAATTACACCAAACTGGGTTTGAACCCAGCAAAGACGCAGCCAGACTGAAGATGACAAGTCCCCGTAGCATAAACACGTACACACCCACAGCCCCCACACACCCACACAAACACACACACACACACACCCACACACACACACACACACACACACACACACACGGCTAACCCCACTGAAATATTAAGTGTGCACCCTCAATACGCCAGCAGGTAACCAGGACAGCTTGTGTGTTTTAAGTTAATGGAGCTACTGGTCTCAGCGCGAGTGTATTGGTCCTCACAAACACAGTATAACAGGAATGTGTGTGTGGCGCGCAAAGTTAGAGGTTGTTTTAAGCGATGAGGTGGATTCGTCACAGTCACAATAACCATGAGATGAAATGTTCATATCCTACAACAGGGATGTTCTTCTGGCAAACGGGTAGATAAATAAGGATCTCACCGAATTTGGTGGAAGCTGCATCTCGGTCGTTACGTTCGCCATCTTCCCTCTAATTGTCTGCACCTGCGCTTGGGTTCAGAAGCCTGTTAAAGCGCAGTATTTTCAGCGCCCCAAGACCATAAAGTTCCGAGACGCTGATTGGCCATTAAATTCACCTAGCAATAGTACATGATTGACAGATTCTCTGCAAATGTGGGGCTGTCTGATCACAGCCCCCTGAACAGAGACGGTAGGAGTCTGTCTGTGGAAATCCACAAATTAATGACAGTAGATAGGGAAATGTAGTTTATATAATTTGTTTTGCTTATATGTAAACACTCTAGAGAGTAAAACTGACATTTATGAGTTAATTTCTAAAAATATATTTTAAGTTTCTCTCTTCTTATCAGGGAGGGCGGTGCCCCAGCGCCCCCTATGGGCCGGCCGCCACTGGCTTCAAGGCTGTTGACCAACACAGCGGTCGCACAGCAACACAAATGGACACATTATATGCATGTCAGAAATTTGTGGTTTGTTATGCTAAGTACGTTTTTCAAGTTATGTTATCAACCAGATTTGCTCATCAGACAACAGTTTAAAACCTTTTCTACCATGAGGAAGTCGCATAACCTGAAGTTTCAGTTTGAGTATGCAGACTACTTTCCCTCTAGGTTCTTTGATGCCCAAAGCGAGAGTGTCCCTTCATACCCCCACCCCTGCACTGAGCCTGCACTTTTCCCGGAAAGCAACTCCACAGTTTTTCCATAGTCACTAATTTCTTACTTTAAATGTTCACACAAGCATTTTTAAAGACATAATCCAAAGAATATACAGTGTGTGAGGAATAGAATTACAAAAACCAACAACTTAAAATTGTGTGCAAATGTGATGGGTGCAAAACATAAAGCTGTACAATCAGAAGCAAACTAAAATGTCATGGTTCAGACAATAACTTTAAAGGCAACATCCAAAAATAATGAAAAGATGTTAATTTGAAAGTTAAACACCCTGAATATACTACAATAACCAAATGTTTTGAAAATGTCATGGGGGTGAAATACAAAATTAAAGCCATTGTAAAGTTGTGCAATCAAAGCAAAACTCAGAAATTTCTCACTTCTATTTTGGTCAATATTGTTACAAGTAAAACTTAAAAACTTAATATCACAATGTGCAATCAAAGTAATCTTAAACAACAGAGGATCAACAGATCTCACCTCAAGGAAAATAAAGGAAAGGAAAATAAGTTGTTCAAACAGTGTTCTAAACCCCCTCTAAATATTGTAGGCCCAGGTACTCTGATAAAGTTCAGAACAGGTTCATTTTAAATTTTATTTCCTACAGTATTTTACGTGACGCTTATCTTGCACATAATCAATGCAATTCAAACAAGGTATTTCCTAACTGATGAAATGATAGTTTCACAATAGTATTGCTGAGGTGAAGCAGTTGCATAATAGTTTAATCGTATGGCATTGCAGATGAGACATTGTTTTATTCAAGTGACTGTTTCATCATACTTTTTTGTTAAAAAGAAAGGATTTTAATCACATAACTATATATTCATGTAATTTAGGTAGAAAACTGTAATTTTTCTACCACTGTCGCTTTGTTTAAGAAACAACACCAGAATTTTTGTTTTTGTAAATCAATAAATATTCTGTTGTGCTCTGTAAACAACATTCTAGACAAAAAAAATATATTTTTTTCATCATCATCTCTTAAGCTGCAGTGACACACATCCTTCATCATGTCTGCTACCCTCATACTCAACACTGTCCACAAAGGCTGTGCTGACTAACCCACATATCCATACTCTGAGGTCATGCATATCCTGAAGTAGGCAAATCCATGGTGTTCAAAGAGATGAAAGTCCCTACATGAAAATAAGAACTGGAAGAGCAGGACAGGTAGGAGGATGGTGGTTTCATCACAACAGCTGCTTATTGGTACTGAAGGAACACTCCCATAGCTCTGTGTATATAAAGATATCTGTGGTGAAAAGTTGTATCAAAGCAGCAGTTTTTTAGAGGAACTTTGTGGTCTTATTAGCAAAGGTGAGAGAATTACTTCCAAACAATTTTGCAGAGTATAAATAAATATGATTTTTTTTCTATATGTAGCTTTCATGTCAAATGTTGTTTTTCCAATTATCTGTGATGCAGTGACCTTTTTCTCTCTATTTGTCTGTGAGCTATCAGGGAAAAAAACTAAATGTTTCATTGATGTTCTGGCAATACATTATCACAACACTCCCTTAATGAGTTTTTCTTTCTTCTTTTTCTTTGTAGCAACAAGTGGAATCTATTTTGCAGAGAAAAGATGTTGGACTATGAAGTGACTGTATTCACTGCCAACCGCGCCACTGCTTCAACCTTTAACAACGTGTTCATCAAACTGATTGGCTCAAGTGGAGAGAGTGAACGCAAGTGGCTCTGGAACTTCAAGGGAGCTTCAGCATTTGTCAGAGGAGCCGTAAGTCTGAAAGTTTCAGTTTAAATGTAGCAGCTGTTTTATCAGCCTGTCTTTAGCAGACTCACAAAATCAGTAGTAGAGGAACAGGGTATGTGTAAATGCTGAGGAGGTACTGCATCCTTTTATGTAACAAACTGGGAGAAGTACCGTACAGGGAGTTTCAAAAGTAATGTGGTGTAGTTTTTGTTTTACTATTGGTCAAGCTAATGCCCCACATTTTAGTACATTCAATTAGGATTTTTTTTAAGATACTGCATTAGAAAACTATGCACTATTTTGAAGTGGATAGAAAATTATATGATTTAAAGCTATTTTAAAATTAATCAACATAAAACTGGGTCCTGCTTGAGTCATTACTCTCTAAACCCTCCTTTGCAGCAACTACAGGAATATGCTTCTTCTAGCTTTGGAAGTCTAAAGAGCGATTTACTGATCACAGTTTAGACTTCTTCTACTTTTGCAAAATATGTTGTTGTTTTTTTGTTGGTTTCTGTTTTTTGGTTTATCAGGATGTTCAACATGTGCCTGTATCAAAACCATTTCATTTTAGTTTCAATTTGCTATTGTTTCGGGTCCTTGTTCCAAAAACTCACCTGTTTCTACAGCCTGCCAGTCTGTATGCCCAGAATAGTACTTAGGGATATAAAATTAAGAAAAGGTGAAAAAAGTGATGTAGGTTTAAGATTTTTATCTCTTATAAAAATGGAAAAAATAATTCTCTTTTCACTTTCCTATAATGCATTTATTTTTACTTTCTAAAATACCAACGAAGTTCCATGATGTTTTTGCATTTCTATGAGACAAAATGTGAAAAGGTTTGGGGCATGTTTTTACTTTCAAAAAGCCCCTTTAAAATTCATTTTTATCTTCTTTCCTGAAATACATTGTATTTTTAAGCTTTTTGCAATAATTTTGCTGAAAAGGCATTTGGTTTTCTGTTGTCTTGTTATTACTGACTGTTTTTGCAATTTGTTTTACTGGCCGTAGGTGGCATGTTTTAGAGTTTCCTGTTGCACCTCCCTGGGAAAACTGGTGCTGATAGAGCTTGACAAGCAGCCTCTTTTGCTGTTCCCAGAAGATTCATGGTTCCCAGCAAAAGTAGAAATCAAATCCCCAGAGGGAGCTTGTTACACCTTCCCCATCTACCGCTGGATTAATGACAACAAGGTGCACCGCTTTAGAGAGGGAACAGGTTTGTCTGAAATTCTGTTAAAAGCTCAGTTCTATTGCAGCGGACACTTTTACAAACACATCACTACATGTTTTTCTGTCTCTCCTTTTAGCTCTGAAAGGGTTTGAAGATAAACATCATCTTGGCAGGAACAGCAGGGAGCAGGAGCTCAAGGAGCGTCAGGAGGACTATTGGTGAGACATCAAAGTGGCAAAAACACAAAAGTTCCTCATCCCATTTTGAATAGTGCTTATTTACTTTGATTTATAAACGAAGGTTTGTTGTTAATTAAAATAATATTTAAATTAAAATGCTATTTTAATTAACAAAAAAGTTAATTTTATTATTGCATGATTTACCCATTTAATATGGCATAACATAACCAACTACTTGCAAATTTAGATTTTCAATTAAAAATAACACCCTATTTATCCTTAACAGTATTATGTAACTCACTGAAATGATATATGCTGTTAACTGACTAAAACAGGGGATTTCTAAATGAAATGTATGTACCGTAATATATTGCTTGAGAAGTGTTTCTTTGTTTGTTATTAGTTGTAAGCTTTAATCATACAAATGGAAAAAAGCAAATGCTTGAAATATATTACTCTGCCAAGTAAAAATCTATTTGAGATTCAGTTTTTTTTTTTGTTGGATTGTGTTTTTGATTAAATGCAAATGAACTGAGAATGGTGATATCAAGTTTTTATTTATACCAGAATTTACAATTAAAAGATCAAATCAAATTTCCTATGTTTACTATAGTAAAACTTAATATAAACTCTGTTTGTCTCAGCTGGGATGTGTATTTGGAGGGAATTCCTCACTGCTTGAAGGCAGATGACCTGCTCTCTCTCCCTTATGAGGTCAGATTTTCCTTCACCAAGCAGACAGAGTTTCTTTTCACAGCAGGGGCAGGGTAAGGTCATAATATTCTCGTGCATTTCTGCCATCAATCAATCGTTGCATATACAAACAATAACACTTAGCCTTTCTGATTTGTATTCACTAGACTGACAGAGCTGAAACTGAAGGGATTGGCAGAATGTAAAATGGGATGGGCGGACCTCGATGCAATCAACAGGGTGTTCTGTTGCAAACAGACTGACATGTCAGGTACTGCCTCCTTAAACTAAAGCAAATAGCACTGAGCCTTAAATACTGCTGAGATAGGGATGTGTGTTTACTATTTGTTGGTAGCTGTTAAAGATGTATTTTACAAACAAAACAGTAATGGAGTGACATTGATAGTTAGTAGTGGTTTTGCTTAATTAAGTTGTATAGTTCTTCCCTGAAGGAATGTTTTTCACATTGATAGAACATTTGATGTTTAACAATGTCACACCAAATTCAAGATGGGGATAAAACTTCTTCCTCTTTCATAATGCTTCTATCCTCTATTTCATGTTCTTAATTATTTAAAAAATATATAATCATTACTGAAATAGAAAAAGGTAGTGGTGTGGTGGATAAAGTACTCAACAGTACTACTTGATTAAAAGTACTGAGACCCGTTGTCAAATCTTACTCAACTACAAGTAAAAGTTACTCAGTAAAAAATCTACTCAAGTTCAATTCAATTCAGTTTATTTATATAGCACCAATTCACAACAAATGTCATCTCAAGGCACAGTTGAACCAGATCATACAGTCAAATTGATTCAAAGTTTTCTATCTAAGGAAAACCAGTTGATTGCATGGACTCATTGAATCAAAGGCAATCCCTCACACTAAGCATGCTTGTAGCGACAGTTGAGAGCAAAAAAACTCCCTTTTAACAGGAAGAAACCTCCAGCAGAACTAGGCTCAATGTGAGAGGCCATCTGCTGAGGCCGACTGGGGTTCAAGGAGACTGAAGCAGAGATACAGTAAGAAGCAGAGATACAAAAGGCAACTGTAAACCAGCTCCACAGGCGATCCCTTCAGAAAACACACAGCCAGGCAGACGAGTATCGAGCCAACTCCCATGTCAGAGGATGACGGTCACAGACGGTCACAGTCAGAGAAACAGGACTACACTGAAAACAGGCCATCAGGAACATCTATAAAGAAAGATGTTGATTGCAGCAGCACAGCTGATATTTCTCTCCAGGATGGTGTCACAGCCAAACAAGACCAGGCCAGATGAAGCTACTATGAGAAAAAAAAAGCAGAGAGAGCATAATGTTAGAGATTGAACTAACACATTCTACAGAGGGGGAGAGTAGAGATAGAATGAAGCAGAATGATGAAAAAAGGGATCCCTATTTTCTCCAGCAGTCTAAGCTTATAGCAGCATAACTATAAAGACAGCTCAGGATAACCTTAGCCACTCTTACTATGAGCTTTATCAAAAAGGAAAGTTTTAAGCCTAGCCTTAACAGTAGACAGGGTGTCTGCCTAATGGACCAAAGCTGGTAGTTGGTTCCACAGGAGAGGAGCCTCATAACTAAAATATCTGCCTCCCATTCTACTTTTTGAAATTCTAGGAACCACTAGTAAACCTGCAGATTGAGAGCGAAGTGCTCTGTTAGGAACATAAGGAACAATCCGATTTCTGATATAAGATGGAGCTTGGCCATTTAAGGCTTTATATGTGAGAAGGAGGATTTTAAATTCTATTCTGGATTTAACAGGAAGCCAATGAAGAGAAGCCAGGATAGGAGAGATATGATCTCTCGTTTTAGTTTTCATCAGAAAGGATTTTGGAACAGCTGAAGGCTTTTAACTACAGTTTGTGGACTTCCTGGTAGTAAAGAATTACAATAATCCAGCCTTGAAGTAACAAATGCGTTGACTAATTTCTCAACATCACCCCTGGACAAGATATTTCTAATTTTTGCAATATTCCACAGATGAAAGAAGGACACCAATGAAAAATAACAACAAGAGCTTTTACTTCATTCTCTGAAATCAGTTTAATCCCATCCAAATGAAGTGACTGACTAATCAGCTTCTTTTTGAAAGACTCTGATCCAAAGACTATAACTTCTCTTTTGTCTGCAGTCAGGAGCAGAAAGTTAAGAGTCATCCAGGTTTTATGTCTTCAAGACATGCCTGTAATCTATGTTATGGGTAATGGGTACTACAGGTATTGTATTGAACTCACCTTTGAAAATACTTAAAAGTAAATACATTTATAAGTATTCAAGTATTCAAAAATACTAATGAAATTTTCTAATATCAATACATTTCTGTGTAATTTTTAGTTTAATTATCAGAAAGTACCATAAACCACCTGATGTATTAAAGCGTAAAGCCATTTTGCTACAGATTCTACACCACTTGTAAAAAACTTCAGCATCAAAATACAACTGAAAATTCAGGACAGCTAATGTGATTATCATTAATTTAAAAACAAAGCACAAACAAAACTTCATCCTTCTCACACTCTCATTATGGAATAGAGGTTTATGGTTAAATCCACCACAAAGAACCCGCAACTCGTACTACTGAGCAACTTGGTCACATGGGAACAACTAACACCCTAATTAAAAGTATAAACTAAAAATAATATCTGCCCTGAGTTTCTCACATTTGTGGAACGTCATAAAATTTCTAAATTAGTGGTGTTCAAATTCTGTCCTAAGCGGCTGCTATCTTCCATGTTGAAATTGCATTTAAAAAGTAAGTAACTAGCAGTTTCCTTGGAATGGAGTGGAGTAGAAAATACAATATTTGTCTTATTTTGGGGGGCAACTTATAACATTCACTCCATTATATTTCGATTACTCATGTAAAATAAAGATAACAAAAATTACTTAAGTAAAGTAATCAAGTAAATGTACTTTTATGCTTTCCATTTTTTTAATCAAACCTGCCTCACATTCTTTTAAAAATGTGTGATAAACGCTGCAGCAAACAGTTTTATTTTAGGGAGACTTAAATTTGATCTACACCCTTTTCTTCTTCACAGACTATGTCCAGCAACACTGGAAGGATGACGACTTTTTTGGCTACCAGTTTTTGAATGGGGTCAATCCCATGTTGATAAGACGCTGCACCGTCTTACCAGACAACTTCCCTGTTACTGACAACATGGTATTCCCTGATTCTCAGTTCAGCTTGGCCGAAGAAATGGAGGTGACTGCACACACACACAAAAAACATGGATATTTCTAAGAAAATTTGTGGCTGTTATGTTTGAATACAAATTTGACTTTAATGTTTGTAAATCCTTCTTAACATTTTAAACAGAAAGGCAACATATTCCTTTGTGACTACAAGCAAATGGACGGAGTGAAAGCTAGCACTATCAATGACAAGCAGCAGTACCTGATGGCTCCACTTGTTTTGCTCCATAAAACTCCAGATGATAAACTCATGCCTATCGCTATTCAGGTGAGATTAGCTTTTTTAATACAGCCAATAATATAAATTAATTATTAAGATGTTAATTTAAAGCTTCCAGGCCAGCTTTTATGCTCCACTAATCTGGAACAAACAGCCAGAAGTGCTGAAACCCTAAACTGCTTTAACTCCAGATTAAAAGCTTGTTTGGTTAGAGTGGGCTCTGTCAGTCTATCTAAACATTATTAATTGGGTTTATAGTCCAACATGATTTCATTTTATTGTCAACCATTATTTTCAAGTTAATTATTCATGTTTATTAATTACTCAGTTATCTTTATGCCACTGCAACAGGTTTTTCCCTATTACATTTCTTTTATCATGTACAGCACTTTGAGCTGCCACCTTACCGAAATGTGGCATATAAACAAAGTTGCCTTGCCTTTTATAAGCCAGAAGACTCACATTTGGCAGCGACAGGAGGAAGCCAAATAGCTGGAAGTAATTCAAAAATAAACAAACAAGGCACTTAAGTAGAAGATTGGAATGCAATCAAATCTGTACTAAGAGTTGGTTAAGTTTGTACATCAGAGCCTAAAACTATAGAATTAAACTCACACCTACAAAGCAATGAACTTCACTCTCTGCATTTAACCCATCCCTTTGGGGAGCCGTGAGCTGCCATTGTGCACCGCCTGGGGAGCAGTGTGGGGGGTAAGGGTCTTGCTCAGGGACCCAGAGTGGCAGTCCGTGGGACTTGAACTCAGAACCTCCGGGATCTAAGCGCAATGCCCTAACTACTAGGCCACCACTTCTCAGGCCAAGATTAAAGTAGTGCTAGAAAAGTCTGCAGCTTGTCCATTTAAATTGTTCATCTTTTTGATTATCACATAATTTCATTTTAAATAGAATGAGTAATCAACCTTGTCTGCCTTGGTAAATGTGGCTCACAATTACAGCATATCTAACTTTTCTGTAAACCTGTTTTAGCTGAAGCAGAAACCAGCAGAAGACAACCCAATTTTCCTGCCATCAGATTCTGAGTACGACTGGTTGTTGGCAAAGATTTTTGTGAGAAGTGCAGATTTCAATGAGCATCAGCTAAATGTTCACCTGCTGCGTACTCACCTGCTAGCCGAGGTGTTTGCAGTGTCACTGTTGCGCAACGTGCCCATGGTGCACCCTCTCTACAAGGTAAGTGCAGGTCTGTGTGTGTGTCTACTGACAGATTCTCAGGATGAAACATGTACACAAACTGGATCCATTACTAAATTAATATTCTCCTCCTAAAGTTTTTGTTCCATGACACGTGTGCAAGCTGAAACATCTTTTTGTTGTTATTGTTTTTTCAGCTTCTCATACCTCACACCCGCTACACTCTACAGATCAACTCCTTAGCTCGGAAAACCCTAATATCTGAGGAGGGTGTTTTCACCAAAGTAGGAAAATATATAAAGAATTACTTTACTAATTAAATAATGATTTTTTTTTACGTGTTGTATTATTCACTACACTGCACTTTATTAAATTAAATTGTTGTTTTAAATATAAATGTAACATTTCTCCAGTTTTCAGCTTCTGGTGGCGATGGTATGATCACTATTCTAAGGAGATCTCTGACCTCAGTGACATACAGCTCCCTCTGTGTGCCTGAAGACATTGCTGAGCGTGGGCTAAAGGACATACCAAACTTCTACTACAGAGATGATGGACTCAGACTGTGGAATATTATCAACAGGTATTACTGGGTGCTTCCATTTTGCATCTTACTTTGTGCTACCCTGTCTGTTAAAGACAAACCAGATGGCTTATGTGATGCTAAAATGTTCACCCTTATCAGGATATGGTTTGTAGGCTATGCCTTTATATCACTAAAATATGTCCTTTTTTATTGCCTTTGATCCGCACACCTTCTTTTAATATGGCAGATAAAAGTGAATCCTTTTTTCCCCCTCCGGTTGATTGCAAACATTCATGTGTGCACAGAACAGTATGGTTGAATACATTCTGAAAAAGCATAGAAAATGTTATTGCAACACCAGATAGGTAGTTATGTGCTAAGCTAAATAAAACTTTGCTTAAAATAAAAAAAGGCTTCAAATCTCAAGCAAAGCTTTTTTTTTAATGTAAATTAAGAAAAGCTGCTCTAATACTCATTTAAAATTTTCTGTGTTATTTACAGTCATTATGCTAACATAAATACATTGTAAGAATAAAAAATATGTTATATTAACATCTAAAACCATGTTTTATTAAAAAGTAAACCAGTGGCGGCAGCTGGCGTTTTCTCCGGGGGGGAGGGGGGTAAAAATTCAAAATAGTCTTATACCAACAACCAATCAAACACATACCAAGTTACCATCCTAACATATTTATATGAATGCAGACAATAAAAATATAATATGATGTACAGGTTTACTTTGTGTTTTGCATGGTCCAATCTTATGTCACAAACCTAAAAAAAAAAAAAGTACCGGTTTAATAATGGAGAAGATAGATAGAGCGGGGACTATATAGTGAACTCAGTTAATTGACCGTTCAGAGAGATGATCACTACTTTCAGCTCCCCGTTGGTCATGGGCCATCTTTGTTATTTTTTACAACAAATCCCATGATGCTTTAGAAGGTAAGCGCTCTGCGCTTACCAGTTGGGGTTAAATAACTTGTTGCCAGCTGAAAGATAATTATCCAATAATTATGCAGTAATTATCCAATAGGAGGCTTGTACCTATTTGCTTAGTTGAATCCAGGTGGCGACTTTTTTCTTTGGCCAGGCAGTGTATATAGGGCTGATATTCGGACACAGCCTATAGCCAAAGATTTTTGCAGCCTATAGGACTGAAATATGTCACCAATCCGACAACGAACAAAACAGCTTTACTCATCAGTAAAGATTGAATATTGATCTTGAACATAAAAAATATATTAATATATTTTTTTAAATATTTTATTTTCTAATTTCATTTATATTTGTTTCTTTATGTTATAATCAAGGTCACTGGGTGGGTAGGGCGGTGCCCTAGCGTCCTCTATTGACTAGCCCTGAGCCCCCACTTTTCAAAAGTACTCTTAAAACAGACCTAATAAAATGATTATCTGTATGTGCAAAATGCTTAGCTTTGCTATGTCTCTTGTAAATGTACTTTACGAAAAGTTTTCTGTGTGTTTCAAAGATTTGTATGCGGTGTCCTAAGCCACTACTACAAGAGCGATCATGAAGTTAAGCAAGACTCTGAGCTACAACAATGGATTTTGGACATTTTTGAACATGGATTCCTTTCTCATCCTTGCAGAGGTATGTTTTGAAGAAAATATTTTTAGCCTAATGAGCAGATTGTAGATCTGTGTAATCGAAGCATAGGGGCTGCACACCGTTGCAGTTTGTTTCCCTTGCAGCAAGAAGCACCTGTAGTGCAAACATTAGCTTGCATGTTCTCCCCATGCATGCATTGGTTGTCTCTGGGTACTCGGGCTTCCCCCTAATCTATCTAGATCAATGATCTATCTAAACAGCACTTAGGCATGAGTGTGAGTATATGGTTGTTTGTTCTGTGTGCCTCTGTAATGGAATGGTATTCTATATTGACTGGATGGCTGTGATGGAAGCATCAATTAAGCATTCAAAATTTAAATGATACCTTTTTTTCTCAGGAATTCCTCAGAAACTAAATACAGTGGATGAACTCATCAAGTTTGTCACCATGGTGATCTTCACTGGCTCAGCCCAGCATGCTGCAGTGAACACTGGGCAGGTAATGTTTTAGGATGAAAAAAGCTGATATTAAGATACAAATTGTGCATAAATGAATGATGGCAGTGAATTCAAACTCTTTAGTCACAACATGTCACAGGTTACGCATACATTAAGATTTTGAGGCACAGAGATCTAGAAGTCTACACATTGGTTTAAGGGATATTGTGTCCATGTTGTTTAGATGTGTTTAATTATGTGGCAGGCCAAAGTGATGAGTATTATTAATCATAATTTTATTACCACAGGTTAGCATATCATGTAGATCTAAAGAGCCTCAAATGCTTAAGAGAAAAAAACATTATTTTGTTCCATCTACAGTTGTTTAAGCAATACCCCCTGAATTCTGAGAGCTGTCCGAACAAATGTAGTGACAACTGCGATCATTTTGCTTTGCCATTAATAGAGCTGTATTTTGAAAAATTCTCTATCGACGAAGGAATTAATAACATACTACATGCTCATTCAATTCTCTGGCTCTGCAGTATGACTATGGCGGTTGGATGCCAAACACTCCAATCTCCCTTAAACTTCCGCCACCAACCAAAAAAGGGGAAGCAACTGAGGAAACAATGCTGAAGACGCTGCCGGACGTCAACGTGACAGTTCAGGGAATGGCCACCATGTGGCTGCTCAGCCAGCAGTCAAGTGATTTTGTGAGTGTGTAGACTTCCATTAGCCAAACTATTCAGGTTTAAATGACATACTGTTTAGATCAATTAAACACAAGGTAATGTATTTAGAGCAAAGGTTTTCAACCCTGGTCCCCAGCAACCACAGTCCTGCACATTTTTAAACATTTATATTATTCCCAGCACATTTATATCAAATGGTTGCATTACCCGTTAAGCAGCGTAGAAGGCCGACAGGCCTGTTCATCACTGTTCATTTAAGCCAGGTGTTGAGAGACAGAGAAAAACTTACAGGGCGGTGGTTCCTGAGGTACAGGGTCGAAGACCCCTCATTTAGAGTATTTATTACTTTGATAATTATGTCTCACGGGTAATGAAAACCAAAACTTACCCCAAATTTCTTTGAAGTTTTAACATATATGGGAAGTTTGATCTCTACGCTGCATCAATGCCAGGGCCAGCCCTAGCCTCCCATGGGCCCTTTGGAAATCTTGATTTGGGGCCCTCTATTTTGTCCAATAATCTGCTGCAATCAGCAGTTTAAATCAGTCACACACTCGACTTGTTTCCATCAACCTTTCTTGTACGCATTTTAAAGTATCACATTAGAGTAGGTTAATGGAAAATGCAAAATCTTGCAAAACGCAAAATTAAGTACATTTTGAAAGAGAGTTTTTAACACTATCTTGAGAAAAAGCAATAATACGCTTACAATGGAGATGGAAACACATTTTTGATTTTGGTATGATATAGCAAAAACTTGCCTCCCATGACTTAGCAGCCATTTTCCACCACCACTGGCATACAGACGCAGCATTAGAATCATACTTCTCTCACACGATGTCTCCGGATGGCATAAACCATCATTAATATTCGCAATAAAATTAAAAAAGGAAAATTTGCCAAATTACAACACTGGTCAATCCCTGATCCGCGGTCAATCCTAGCTTGTTAACTCTAAGTACTGTTCACTACAGCCATGCTTAGCTTTAACGTATGACATTACCCTTTACATTACCTTATTAATTTGCTCTAGCGGATGGAAATGTCTAATCCAAATCTTTTCCCACATTTTAACAGTTCACTAAAAATGTGCATTAAACTCGAATGGAAACTCAGCTACTTATCATTAGCTCATTATAGCTCTGGCAGTACTGTTTAGAGTCTCCAATTTTTATGCATAATCTACTGATAAAATCTTTTTATAATAAAGTAATTTTAAGTTTATTTACAGTGAAACTATCATGTCATTTATACATTTATGTTCCAACTATAACATGACAACATTGTTAAGCAATCTGACACATAACTTTGTTGTTGATACCAATCACTGCCAGCCTGCTCAATTATTGTTCTGTCATGAAAGATCTGTTAGGTCTTTATTAATTAGAGTTTAGAAAGCTCCGCTCCACAGATGCAACAGTTACGGGGAGGGTGCAGGCCATCCTCAGAACTACCCAAAGATTATGGTAGAATTCAGATCTTATTCTAAAAGATGTAAAGGAATAAATCAGGGCATCTGGAAAGTTTCCTGTCTCTGGAGCCAGTGCAAAATAGTCAATATCCGATTGTTCTCCAAAGATACATTTGTATCAGATAAGTATGCGTGTCAATCTGGCCCAAAGATCAATCTTGTTTTCTACATGTATAGGTAATGATTTTTTTAATGTAATGAAATTGGGTTCTTTATTATTATTTTTATATAGAAATTATTTTCTATGCAATAAAATTCCAACTGTGCATTAATTTGTGGTAAAAATACTAAGTATACGGTACATTACATAGACATACTTTTTAGTAGGCTAATACAATTGTTTAGCACTTACACGTTCTATGCATTTTGAAAACTTCATGAGAAATTTCTTTATGGGTTTTTATTACCTTTAAGCCATAATCAGAATGGTCAAAAAACATATAGTTGATTTATTCCTCTGCATCAATTTTATCTTAAAAATGTTTGAGTTTCACTTTTCACATTGAATGGTCAGTAGTCTATATCTGACAAATATTTGCATGTAACTGGCAGAAAAACTAAGATTGTTCATTCATTTTTAATCAGGTACCTCTAGGCCAGTACCCAGAGGAGCATTTCAGTGAGGAGACTCCAAGGCAGATGATAAAGAAGTTTCAAAAGGAGCTGAAGGAGTTAAGTGCCGCCATCAAACAGAGAAACAAGGAGCTAAAAGTGCCGTACACTTACATGGATCCAGAGGAGGTAGAAAATAGTGTGGCTATTTAACAAAAGGAAAACAGTTTTTCTCTAAGCCTTCTAATAGAGGCACACAGTGGCTTTACTGCAAGGATCTTTAATATGCATTATAACGACTTTCTATTGGTACGTTAGGGAAAAAAATGACTTTTCATTATTTCATTATTTTTATTTTTGGTTAAAATTAACATTTTTCAAAGTAGATATTTAGTGAAATATTATCATCTGGAATGTATAAATATGAAACATATATCACTGTTTAGATTGTTTTTCTTTGCTGTTTAAAAGGACCAGCTGCCCGAAAGCATTTGACACTGTATTTTGAGACATGGCATGCATTAGGAAATTTTCCATAGAAAACTTACCTTCATGGCTTATATTTTTGTATTGTGTGAATAGATGAATATAGCATTCTATCAGAAAAAAAACAAACAAACTTTTTGTTTCACATTCACTCAAAAGAATTTATGTGTGTAATAGAATGATTGCTGTACAAATAAAAATGTTAATCAGAAAACATTCTTGTGTATTTAAAATATTTTACACGACAGAGAGCAACGTGGAGCAGAGGTCACATTTCTTGATTTTTCTACAAGGTTTATGTATAAAGGGTATTCCGATTCAGAGCCAGAGCTGTTCCAAACAGTAGGCAAGGTTGAAAAGGATGGTGCAGTTTGATAGCTATGATAGTGGACAACGTTACAGCAAAATGAACAAAACAAAACTGGTACAGAGAATATTAAAATTACCTTTCACTCTACACTTCCCCCATGGCACTTCTGAACAAGCCAAGTGCAATGACCATATTAAACCCTGAGGGCAATGAAATGACTGGCAAAGTTCTGGTGAATGTGAAAAAAGTGCAGACAGCTAAACTTAAAAAAAAAAAAAGAACAAATTTTATCCTGGAAAGGAAGGTGTGGATGTTGTTCCTGTACTTCAGTTTTGCTTTCATTACGCCCCTCTGCAATTGGCTGTTAGACTTCCTCACAACCAGACCTCAAGCAGTCCAGTCTAACCACCTCACTGGTCAAAATGGCACAGAAGAGCATGACTTCCTACAGAGGATGAGGAGAGCCCACCTGCCCCCACCCATCCTCACCACCTTCTACAGAAGCACCATAGAGAGCATTCTGACCAGCTGTCTCACTGTGTGGTGTGGAGGCTGCAGCGCCTTAGACTTCAATGATCTTCAATGATCCCTCACACCCCCACCATGGAGTGTTCTCCCTGCTGCCCTCTGGAAAGAGGCTTCACAGCATCCAATGCAGGCCCAGCAGACTCTGAAACAGCTTTTTCCCCACCACCATCAGACTGCTAAACTATTGAAAAAACTCTAAATCATGTCACAGAATCTGCATCTAACTGACAACACCAACACTGAATAATTGCACTATATATTTAATGCTTTAAACTTCCTTATCAATGCATCTCTTTGCACTGTTTTTTTTTCTCCGACACTGTTTACATTTGATCACTGTTGCACTTTAAGACATGGAAATGTCATTGGAGCTGTACAAAATGGCTCAAATGACATCTCGTTTTGTATACCCTCTGTTTATACAAAATGACAATAAAAGTTGTCTAAGATATTTTGGTTAATTAGAATGTTACCTGATCAATGTAGCATGTACACTGGAAATACTGAAACCACCAGGCACTAACAACCAAAACACTACTCAGTTAGCTTCAATCCTGTTACATGAGATTCATGCTTAACCTGACAACAGCCAGATGCATGTCTCGCTCCGCCCAGCTCCACTCACATACGTATGCGAGTGGAGCTGGGCGGAGCGAGACATGCATCTGGCTGTTGTCAGGTTAATTCATGCTAACAAAGCAACCCAAATCCTTTTAACACTGTAACAATTATTACCGGCCAGGCGTACACTGTACAATATTTTCAATCGTACAGATTTTACAACGAAACCACAGGGTTTAAAAGTTCACAGCTCAAGATGCACGTTTTTCCACTGTGACCCCTTGCTCACACTGGCTCCGGTGCGGTTACCGAGCCGACGGAGACCGCAACTCCCGCACACCCCCTCTCACACCGCCCTTTTGACTACGGTGCGGTGCGGCTCTGCGGCTCCGGCAACAGGTCCGGAGATTTAACAGAAGTTCACTTGAGTTCACGTAACTTCACGCGATAACACGGCCCAAATAAAGGATTTTTGCGAGAGCTTGTTGCGGAGGGCTCCGGCACGCCGCAAGGATAGCTTTCTTGCGGAATTTTCTGCAGCGCCGGAGTGTCTCGGTAACCGCAGCCGGACAGCTCAGCAGCCGGTGAGAGAGGTTTACGTCTTTTTAATGACTTGGAATCCTTGCGGCGCCGCACACACCGCACCGCAACGGTAAGACCGGAGTCTGTGTGAGCCTGGGGTGACGCCCGATGCTCTGATGTGATCTACCCGCTCAAACTGCACGTCCCAAAACCACATGTCTGACTCCCCTCTGAGAGATGGTTGCCAGAGGGGAAGAAGAGCTTTGTTGTTTTACACAACGCAGGATGCTCGATGAGGCTGAAACACGGCCCGATACAAAAATTCTTGCACAAATGGACAATCAGCCCGAAAAGGGCAAAAAATCGTACAGTGTATGGCCGCCTTAACCTATATAGTTGACTACTGCACCACTCTACCTTTGTCAGGTGTTCAACAATGAACTATATTGGGTTTATTATTTGTGAGCAATATCAACAGTTTGTTTAAAAAAGATGAATTAATCATTATTTTATTGAATCTCAAACAAATACACTGGCCATAGGTTAACTTTGCAATGAAAATAATTAGCAGAAATATTTTTCTACAAACAAAATATCAGAAAAAGTTCAATAGTCCAGTAAATTCTAAATGAAATCACATTAAAACTGACATATTGAAAAATTATCCCATGAATTTTGTTAACTAACATTTCCTTAATTTCATCATGAAATGTATTTAGTCCTTTTGTTTGTTCTATTCATGTGAAGTTGGTCAGTGGTTCAGATCTGAGGGGAAGGGACAGTGAGGAGTCCTGTGGGCTTCAGCTTGCTGATTCCTCCATCCAAAATGCAAACACGTGAAACATTCACTTTAACCAGATGTGCGGAAAACTGGGAAAACAGAAAACACATGTAAAATACACAATCAAAAAAACGGCATGGACTAATTAACCGTAATAGGATGATTGATAACTAATATGTTTATTTATGATAAATAAAATCAATTATCAGACACCACCTTTATGTATGAGTATACTATAATATTTCAGGCAGATTCAGATAGATGTTAAACAAAAATACAATTTTTAGACCAAATATTTCTTTGTCTTTTAGATTAAAGAATTGCAATGATTTCTTTAATGTCTGTCTGTGGTTTTACTTCATGTTTCCATATTTCTGTGGTTGTTTTCCCATATATTTTTAATCACAACACTTTCACTAAATTCATCGAATCACCCATTGGATGTAGGCTGACATTAATATCTAATCTATTCTATTTGTTATTTTGATGAATAAAACTGTAATGAGTTTCAATATTAATTTTCTCATATAAACAAAATTCCTCAGAAAACTGTTTTAAAATCTGACTCCAGATTTCAAAATGTGCATTGTACTTTGTATTCTAAAATGGCAGCCTCATTCATTCAGACCCAGGTGTGTAGTCAGTTTACTGGCTCAGTTCTATTGACATACAAAAATACTTTACCTCAATCTCACATTACGTGAAATATATCATTATTTCTGTGAATATTTCATAAAGAATTTTTGCTGTTTTTGTCCAGTTTTAAGTGACACCACAGACTTTGTGACCTAAAGAGTTGACACACATGAGTTATTTTTAATTGATTCATCAGGCCAATATACAGTATCAATGCTATGAGCGGAGCTCCCCTCTTGAAATACCAACTATGTAAGTTGTTAGAATGCTCAGTAATTTGGCCAGGTCATGTGACCTGGAAGAACGTATTGCTTTATGGCAACAGGCTCTTATATAGTCATGGGGCTAAGGCTTTGGCTCTACTATTTTTCCGCCTGCTCGACTACTTGTCATGGCTGAGGCAAGGAAAAAGTTTAAACCTTCTTAGGAGGCTGAAAAGAGAAAACGTGAAAGGGATCGTGCAAAAGGAAAAACAAGAGTCATGGAAATTAGTTTATTTGTTGGTACAGGCTGAAAGAAGAAGCCGGATGTAAAACTTTTCTCATCTTTATTATTAGACTGGTAAGTTAACACTCTGCTCCTAGTATACAGTCATATTTCTTTTTTTTTTTTTTTCTATGTTTAGTAGAAGCCAATTACGTGTACAGGTCTAGTGCCCCTAGTGGTCAATGGTTACACGGTGTGCCTTTAGGTTTTTGATAAAATAATTCTGATGTAAGAAAAGAAGAAAAACCTGATAACTACTTTAATGTTTGTGGGAAATTCGCCTATAAAACAAACAGGATATATTTTATACAGTGGGTAAAATTATTTACTTATAAGAAGATATTTTACTGGGCAAATAGAGTTAATTCTGGATTTTCTTCAAAATGCTTTTTGAAGAAACCTTTTTTTTCCCACACACACACATTTCAAGCTTCTGTAACAGCTTTATACAAACAGACAAAGATTAGTTACGCTAACCAAGTTAAGTTTCACACAATGTAAAAAAAAAAAAGAGCATAACCTTTTCCTAGTTTTTTCTCTTCTTATTTCGGTGTGGCCTGTTTTTATTTATTTGAACTAAGGCACAGGCCTTAGTTCAAATAAATAAAATCTTTCTCAAAATCTTTCTCTATCAAAACTTCTTCTCAAACAAGGTTATGGTTAACATTAACCTGAAAATGAGCGATACTGTGCAAAAAAAGCAACGTGTTGATGCTCTGACTTCAGGTAGTTATGATTAAACTTTACAATGATGCATGGAAAACAGTACAATACTTTTTCAGTAAATGAATGAATGCTGCTGTATTTTTATATATAAAAGCAAACTGCATTAAAATTGTAAATTTATAGGACATGTATTGTAAAGCTAACAAAACAAAGAATGGTCATATTTTAGGATTTAGTTATTAAATACTGTTTTAATCTGTTGTAATGTGTAAAGATGTGTGTGAAGCTGACTCTCTCACCAAAGCAGCACTCTTTATAGCATGGCTGATGATCACAATGACCCGCCCTTTGTAGTTCTGGAGAACTCCTGCAGCAGGACACTGCACTAGTTCACCATCAGGACCGAACACGCTGTTAAAGGGAATGTTGATGCTGCCAGAAATATGTCCCCTACCAAAGCTGGATTCCAGGGAGTTAAGGAGCACAGAGTCTGGCAGATGTGCCAAGGCAATGATGCTTGGTGAAGGTTTTTATTTTTTCACAGAGACTAACAAGGAATTTTCTGAGAGCTGCTTTGTTCTTTAGCAACATAAAAAAATGCATTGTAGAAAAGAATAATGTAGAGAAAAGACATTTCAGAGAAAATGAAATCAGGACATAAAGGACAAAGAATAGAGGATTCAGAAGGTATAAACAATGCTCCAGTCCCTGGGTAATCTACTTCTGTTATGCTATTCCCTCTCTATCTCAAAGGGCTGCGTTTGATTGGGTACCTTTGTCAAGAGGCTCACTGCATACGGAAATATTTGAACACATAACTAAAACAGATCCTCCCTACACAATCTGTGCCTTTTTAAAACTCTACCAGGAAGTCTTAGAATTTAGGGTGACTTACAGACAATAAAAACACCTTTGAATGGATTTCATCCACTGTCCCGGATAATTTAGTCATTCGCCTGCCTACACATACCTTACTCAAATAAATAAGTGATTAACAGGCCCTTGCAGTGCTTGGAGGCAGTTAAAGAGGGAATGCAATTAACTGATTCAGGTTTGCAGGTGTAGAAATGCATCTAAAACCTGCAGAAGTAATTGGGCCGGATCTATCAAAGGTTTGCGTGTATAAAAACGTGAGCTATTTCACTGCGCACGCTAAAAAATGTACAAACTGATCTATCAACAGCTTGCTAAAAGGATTTGGTCTTTAAAACGTGCTAAATAGCGCCTCTTATCCATTTAGTACTTTTTCTGCAATGAATATGCAATATGGGGCGTTTACACGCAAAAGTGCGTCTTGTGGGAGGAGAACATGAAAATATATTAATTTAGCACTCGCAAAGTGATTTATCAAACCTGAAAGCAATTTTGCTAACGGTATCTGACTCTATATTTAACACGTTTCAAAAGAAGGTGCAAATGGTCTGTATGCGTAATTGCGCACACATGGCAGCGGTTATTGCTGCAAGAAGGAGACATGGAAATGAAGCAAGGCGACGCAGAGAACGCATTTTTTCACTCCGTATGAATATTTTTGGAATGAACGAGGAAACGATCATCAAAACATTCCGTTTATCCAGCATTGCCATTTTGGAGCTGTTGGGGGAACTCCGAATGGATTTGGAGCCAGCCACAAGGAGGACCCACTCAATACCAGATATCACAAAACTCCTTGCAACATTGCACTTTTTTGCATCTGGGATCTCCCAATCTCCTTTTTCAGAAGTTGGCGCAGTCATCTTATCCACAGTCACTTCTTGTGAGCCATTTGGTATGTGCATTTTTCTACAGGCCAATACAAAACACCTGTTTTTTTTTTTTTGTTTTTTTTTTACAGCAGTGAAGTAGAAATTCAGCCACATACCACCTTAGGGAATAAAGGTTGCCAAAGTTTATATATATATATATATATATACATAATTTTATTTTTTGGGATTGGGTGGGGGTGTCACTGTAAGATTAAAATTTCTTAATGCACTAGTTTGCACAAACTACTTTGCCGCAAACCACAAAACGCGCAAAACCATCATTTAAATAGGGCGTCTCCAACAGTTTTGCACCTGCCACCAGTTACGCAATCGCTCTTGTTAAATTACCTGCAAACCATGGTTCAGCCCCTCGCGCAAAATTCCAGTTTGCGAGCGCAAATTACTGCACGCAAAATTGGATCTTGATAAATCCGGCCCATTGTGAAGTTTTGGTTAAGAGATGGCTCTTGTCATTCGATCAGAAAAAGAGATTGAGGTAATTTTTCTACATTAAAGGTGCTCTGTGAATCACAGGAGGAGACAATTAACTTTTAAAAATATTTCCCCGTACAGTGAGGATAAGGCTGGAAGCCTTATTTTGTCAGATGTCTGAAAAAATGTTAATTTTGAAAAGGCAGAAAAGGAGGGTAGACTAAATCAAACGATATGCATTCATTTCTACATGCATGAACTGCAGAGAAATACACTGTTATCAGAATGTACTGTTACCTGGTTCACTAACCTAAAAAATAATGGCATATATTCTTAGACCAGAATCATAGCATGCAATGGAAATAGACCCAACTACATCGCAAGTAATTATAGTGTGACTCTGTTTGACACAAGGGTTTCAGCTGAAAGGTTTTACTGGCTTCTTCTGTGAAGAGATGCTCACAAGCATAACAGACGAGGGACTTAACTCTTATTTGTAGGACTTTGTTTCTCCTCATCTCTCCAAGACCTTCACTTTCAACATAGTAAAACGTATCAGTATACTAGCTTACGCTTTTGTCAGGTAATTTAAGATCTGATAAGGCAAAAAAATGGCTTAAACACATCAGGAGGCAAGATGCTCATTAAATGGTAAGGATACTCTTCCACATTTCGAATGTCGACAGCAACAATTTTCGGCTTGCTGCTTTTATGTCTCTTGGAGGGTCCAGCGAGTGAGAGTTCACAGAGGTCGATTAAATCCTCAGCTGAGATTCTGGGAGACACTTCAGCTTTCAGGTCACACAGCGCCAGAGGCTCTCGGGACTAAAGGAGAGGAGGTCACAGAAAGACAGATGAAGCAGGAGAACATTTCTGGACCTCATAATCATTTAGAAATGACTGCCAGTTTGGTTACTGTTATTATAAGAGCAAAAAACAACTACTACAACTACACCTCAAGGGCTCTCATGTTTAACCTGTAAAACCTTAGAAAATAAAAGTAGTCCATTAAGGCTCTGATTGGGGCTGGGTATTGATTGAAATTTCAAGAATCGCTTATATTCCAATTGTCAAAATTTAGAAATAATTATTTTAGATCCAATCTAAAATTGGATATCCTTTTTAAATAATACTATAATTTTATTTAATTAAATTCAGCTTTATTAAATGAATGTATAGTTAGGTAATTCATATTAAAGTATTATATTAACATATTAAAACAAATTAATACATTTATGGTAGTTAACAGTGGCTGTAAGGGCAGTGGAAAATACATTTTTTTTATTGATCCATATATATATTGACCTCTAAACATTAACATGAGAATCGATACAGAATTGGAAAATTGATTTTATTTTTAAACACAGCCCTAGATCTGAGCAAGATAGAGCAAGACAATGGCCTAAACAACAAGTTTTTACCCTGAGTTTAAATTAGATCAGATAACAACACAAACAAGGTTAAAATGGTCATTTTGGACAAGTTTAAATAAACCACAGAGGACTTAATTCATTCATGATTTATTGGGGCTAATTTGAGAAACAATTAGGCAACATTAAATAATAAATGATTGGTGAAGTCTGTGAATAAAGGTAATTATACCAACCGGCTTAAAAGAAAGAAATTAATGCACAATGTATTTAGTTGCTGTAAAAAAAAAAGAGTCGTTCAGAATGTTACATTAATTAACTCCTTTCTTTAAAGCACACACATTGTCTTAAATATGCATTTGCGACACCATTCCCTTTATTTATGGACAGAAATAGGCAAAACTGTGGAGCTTGTTAGGGTTATGGGCTGATGAAACCCTGCATGGTTATTTAAATGTCAGAGTGAGCACTGTGAGACAGTCAAGGACGGCTTATAGGAACTTTGGCATTTCAACTGGTCAGACAGTGATGGGTCTAAACCAGAGCCACGGAAAAGCAAGTCAAAAATGTGCAGTAGAAATGTCTGTTAGTGTGTCCACCAGGAACTTTGTTCAAGGTTCAAAATAGGAAGACACTGTCTGGAATGGAAATGCTGCTTTTTTTGGGTCAAAACAAGGTTAGGTTTATTGACTTAATTTAATTAGTCTGTGAGAACAATAACAAAAACATAGCTACTAGCTGAACAGTTGTATCAGTAAAACTTAGGTGATAATTCAAAGAACATAAGAAAAAAAAACATACTGCTGACTAACAACATGCAGTTAGAGGCTAACTTCAGTACAGAAGGAGGCTTTACATTAAAATTCAAATGTAATATGTTTCTAAAGAACACATCTTCCCATTGAAAAAAGAAAAACCAACAAAAATGATAATTAAAGTTTAATTAAAGCCTCTCCGCAAAGTTTCTGAGTGTTTATGAGAATTTAACAATTCTTCCAGACAGATTCCAGCATTTGTGTCGTCAGATGCAGGTGCTGGACAGGAGGGCTTAGCATTGCAGTCTTTTCTCAAATTTCTCCCAAATTAAAGGGGAATGAAACGTCCAATCAAACTAATTTAATTTTTGAGATTCTGTCTTACTATTATCAATATATTATATTAGAAAAGTGAAAAATATAAACATAAAAGAAAAAAAGCTTTGTTTTATAGTGTTTCAGTAAGAACATGTTGCAGTACCTCAAACGGTGATGTCACAGGGTTGGTCAGCGCAACTCATTGGACAGCCAGCTATAGCCTGAAGCTCCTCCGATTGTTTTTAATTTCAGCGCCTATTAGTTAGGCTCTTCTGACCGGCCAAACACACTCTGACAGCTGGTCAGCGACAATCAATCAATTTTAAAGGAAAAGTCCGGTCAGCAAGGAATGATCAGTGGGTCATTATCTATACCTAAAATTAATACGTTCACAGTGATTTAATGGATTTGGCGTTAATCAGTAAAAAATAAAAATAATAATTTTCACAGCAATTACTGAGTCCAAGAACGGCCATTTTTGTATATAGTAAATATACAATATAGTAAAAACCTCACTCCTGGCATCTTCCAACAGTGTCGTCACGGTGCGGTAAGCCTAGCGCCATTCTCCCCGCTTTACAAGCAAAATCAATGGGACCTACTAGACACCTATGCAATCAACAGCAATTACTTAAGATTTTGAGAAGACTTCACCATTGAAATTCGCGAGAGCTATGCTTAAATTGACAATGCCCACGTGCATGGCAGTTGGATGTTGTAATACATCGGGTTAAAGTGGAAAAAAATTAAAAAAATAAATAGATAACAAAAAGGATTATTTCACCTTTCCGATTCAGGATCTACCACGGATGGGTTTGTCGTTGGATTGCCAACTTGAAGAGAGAGGATTTTCTATCAAACTTCTGGCCAGAGAAAAAACATGTGATATGTAGCCAATATTTTGAAGAAGAATGTTTTCAAAATGACTTGGATAAAAGCGCATTGTGACTAACACCAGATACAGCATTGGGACTTGATCAACAGCCGATACCGCACGGTGACGTCACAAACCGGTAGATGCCAGTAGTGCTCTTTGACAAATATGGATGTCTCCAGTAAAGTTCTCCAACTTTATCCCATTTTTGAGTCTCTTAATAAACACACATTTTATAACCCCTTCTGCAGCCATCTGGATGAACATATTTCTGCAGCACAGGGTCCCTTAGCCACCGGATATCACAGCGGGTCCAAACCTCCAGAGAAATGGTTAACTTCTTACCATTGCCAAAGTAAACAAAATGCTCAGTAATTGAAAGTAAAGCCTTTATAAATTGCCCTTTAAGATAGCTTTGCAGTATAAATAGTACACATATCACTGTAAATATTTTAATCTAAATAAAAAACATTCTGTGTCTTCGCAAATAATTTGGACCTTCAAAGAAATAACATTTCATGCATAACGTTTGAAAAATAAAACAAAGTATGTGGCACTAAGGTTCATCTTTAGTTTTGGAATAAACTTGAGAGGGGCTAATGTAGCCGATCTTCAGCTAGATCTAAATGTCTACAGCAGTCAGTAGTCCAAGTACCTCGGATAGAGATAATACACTTTAAATGAGCTTATTATAAAACTGTCAGCTGCTATTACATCTGTAATGCACGAGTCTAAAGGGGTGGCACAGGAGGAAAGATGGAAAGATGGAAAATTATTCTGCAGGATGATGATAATAATTTTCCAAAGTATGGAAATAAGGTAATCATATTTCAAACCATTAATCTATAAAGAAGCAATCCTGACACAATTTATATAAATACAGAAACTGCTCAGAGTGAGCAGATGGGAGAAAAAAAACTATCTGGGGGCCGATTTTCCAACACCAGCACATCGACTGAGACTAGGATGGACCAATAATTGATAGCTATTGAATAAACTATTGAATGTTTTAGAGCTTTGCTGCAGCAGGGAACTTCTAGAAATGTGCGACAGTCAGAGCACATAGTATGTTCATCAGACATCTGGATATGAGCACAGAGCTGTTCACTTTTTGAGAACTTTGAATTAATGTTTAAATGAATCATGCTTTGGGTTATCCTTATTTTAAGAAAACATTCTCATACATGATACCATGGGAGAACAATAAGCTTCATCTTATCTTTTAATGTCGACTCAGTGATGTGGTTATTGGTATACTTCAGTCATATTTTAACAAAATTTAAAAATTATTTCCTCAAAGCTGATCAAAAATGAGACGGAGACTGAATTTGCTTCTCCTGCTGAATGCGCTCTTATGAAGCAGGGGCTGCAGTTTCCGTTCAGGTGCTCACGGATAACAGAACTAAAGATGTCTATGTTTGCAGGTAACAGAAACACTGTTAGAGCATCCACACAAAGTTGCAAATTTCATCACTGTTTTCATAAAAAGTTGCAAAATTCCCCTGCTCAGCTAAACAATTCCTCGTGGCAGGTCGCCATCTTTGTTGTGACTGTGTCTGGCCTGCTAATAGCATGTAGATTTTAGGAGGAAGGAAGGAAGGAAGGAAGGAAGGAAGGAAGGAAGGAAGGAAGGAAGGAAGGAAGGAAGGAAGGAAGGAAGGAAGGAAGGAAGGAAGGAAGGAAGGAAGGAAGGAAGGAAGGAAGGAAGGAAGGAAGGAAGGAAGGAACGAACGAACCAGGAAAGGAAAGAACCTATCTAAGGAAGGAAAGAACCAGGGAAGGAAGGAAAGAACCAAGGAAGGAAGGAACCAAGGAACCTAGGAAGGAACGAAGGAACCAGGGAAAGAAGGAACAAATGAAGGAACCAAGGAGGGAAGGAACGAACGAAGGAAACAAGGAAGAAAGGAAGGAACCAAGGAACCTAGGAAGGAACGAAGGAACCAGGGAAGAAAGGAAGGAAAGAAGGACCAGCGTTCAACTTCATTTCATAAATAATAAAAATATTTTTATTGTTTCTTTTCTTTATAATATTGTAATTTTGAAAACTCTATAAATGCTTAAATGCTCTGTATGTTTAAAATCCAGCAGGGTAAAACTGTCCCCTCAAGGCCACCCCACTTAATTTGCATGATGAGGCACAAATGCATGAAAATGAGTAGAAAAGAGAGGAAAAACAAAACAAACAAAAAAATAGAAGCATTAACAGAAAAAAAATACATATAAAAACAAGTAATTAAATAACAAAGCAAAAAATATATAATTATATTAAATAACTTCATTTTAAATAAGGTGAATAAATAAATAAGCTAATTAAAATACATCCTTCATTTTATGATTTCATTACTGCTTACATTTATTTACATGATGTAATTTTTTTTGCCCAGTTACAGTAACTGTATGCAGAAGAATATATTGAGTATTAATTAATTTCAGGGTCAGAGCTGCTCCATTAATTGTTTCATTTGGACAATGAAACTTTCAGTGAAGTTAGTAAAGTGTTGATTACAGCATTGCCTTAAGGATGTATGCTCCTGTACTGTTTATTTGATGCAAGTAAATATAGAATACATCCTGCTATTAACAGCATTAGGCATTGGTCAGCTACCAGTCACAAGAAATAGTATATTGCCAAAAGTAGGTGTCAGGCTACTTTTACATATTCCTATACTTCATAAATCCTATTAACAATACTAGGACCTAACTTGTTAAATGGATCCCTATTCCCAGAAATAGCAACCCTACTTATACAGCAGCACTTCATGATTCATAAGTTAAAATTATTTCGAGTAAAACTATTTTAAAAACAGAGCACGTCCACATTAGCACAAATATATGGTAAATATATATAAAAAAGGTGTAAGAGTTTTTTCCCCTATCAAATAGGGAGTCATGCATACAAATGTCTTAGCCTGTATTTATAATATTTAGCTCAACTAATATTCACATTTTTATAATTTTCTGTAGGATCATAATTGCAACAATGGGGAGTTTGTCACATGTCTTCCTCATTTCTTCTCCAATTTCCTGTCCATTTACTTTCAAAAATAAAGGCCATTAGAGCCTAAAAATAATCTATCATTGTAGCAAAAATGAAAAACAAAAAAACAGAAAATAAACTACATTTTGTCAAAACACACATAAATTTGAATCAGTATGAAATAGCAATTTGTGGATACAAACTAATTTTCTCTGCTGTATCAAAATTCAGATTAGTTCATTAAGACTAAAAAAATGTGGGATTTTTCTGTGTTATGAATATGAGGTAAAAATATTCTACATTGAAGCCTTTTAGCATTACCTATTTTAGCATGGAGTTTCTAACATCATAGTCATTTACAAGAAGACTGATTGCATCCATTCCACACCACTACACAATAAAACAGCTTCATTAACAATTAACTGTAAGAAAAAAAAAATCGATTCCAAAAATATTTCAGCGATTGTATTTCAAAATAAAAATATAGTGCATTTGATTTAAAAAAAACATAAACAGAGCAAATTTTTATGTACTTATTTACAAGATTTTATACCTAAGGTTTGCATTAAACTTTAATACCGTATTTTCACGACTATAAGGCGCACTTAAACGTCTTTTTTTTCCCTCAAAATGTGCGGTGCGCCCTATGGTGCGGTGCGCCTTATGTGTGTTGTAACTGCGACTTTTGAGACCACCTCATTGAGGAGATGATGAAAGAGTGGCTGAATGTAAGGAGGCCAGGTGTTTTTTTTCCACCCCTCACCATCGCTGTTAATATGTAACTCCATGCGTGCCCATCTCACAGCTGATGTGAAAAACATGGGGAAACAAATGAACGCTGCTCGACATCGGTGTGAACCGGACCCAGCAGGTGCAGCAGAAGCAGCGTGTTTACATGCAAAGTCAATGGTTGACGCGCATATAGGCACAGCAAAAGGTCCCGCAGCGCATTTTGGTGCAGCACGTCGGGAGCGTTTAAGCATCTGAAGCACCGCCAACGCGCTGCTGCTGCTCAGATGGAAAAATTGAAGTTTTGCTGCTGGACGCGCCGCATCAACCAATCAGAGAAGCAGATCTGGGAGCTGCCAGCGAGACAGACAGCGCTCTGATGACATATGATATTAACGCAAATGGAAAAGGCTGGGTGGGTGCGTGGCTGAGGCAGGTGTATGTGAGAAGACTAGGTGGTTTTTTCCACGCATCACCATCGCTGCGTGCCCATCTCACAGCCGATGTGAAAAAAAGGTGAATCAATGAACGCTGTGCTCGCCGTTATCCCGGGGGTCTGACAAAGGAACTTCAACCGCTCGACATCGGTGTGAAGCAGCCGTTCGAAGTAAGGCTGCGAGCGGTGTGGGAGCGATGGATGACCGACGGAGACCACAGTTTCAGGATAAATGGAAGGCAGCGCCGGGCAGATTACGCCACAGTTTGCGGATGGATTGTAGATGCTTGGACTAACGTGTCTGCTGGCTCTGTTGTTCAAGCTTTCGCAAAAGCAGGCATTATTTCTGAGGAGCCGCGCTGCACGGAAAATGACTCTGACAGCGAAGAAGGGGAAACTGGCATGTCTGATTTAGCGCAGCTGTTTTATTCAGAAACAGAGGATGATGACTTTGATGGGTTTGATTAATACTTTGTAATAAATACATGAATAAAGCACAATCATACTCAGTTTTGCTCCCGCTGTATTTTTCTCCCTGAAAACTTAATTCAACAGCAGCCCCGGCGCGTCTCCTCCTCTTCATCGCGGTGGCTGGCAGGTGTTTTTTCATCTAAATAATCTAAATCTTGCAGCTATATTTGCTGTGATCAGTGGGAATAAAGTAGTTTTAATATGTTTTTAAGTGAGAAAGTCCAACTGAAAACTTAATAATTGCAGTCAGTTCATCCAGATTATCTATTTCTGTCGGAGGCGCTCAGACCCCCACATACCAGCGGTGCGCTGACAGCAGAAATCTCTTCATCAGCAGCCTGTAGGCTGGGCAGCCTGGGGTACACCGCGGCTGCTGGCAGGTGTTTTTCATCTAAATAATTTTAGCTGCAGGCACCAGGATACCGGCAATAAAAGCGAACATATTCCGTCAGCAGGTTTCAGGATTTTAAGTTAATTTAGGAGTGATCACAGCGCTGTGTCATCTGCGATGTGTCTGTCTCACGGCCAGCTGCCAGGTTTGATTAATACTTTGTAATAAATACATGAATAAAGCACAATCATACTCAGTTTTGCCCCCGCTGTATTTTTAAATACGCAGTAGAGGTATTTAAAGGTAGTAGAGGACTTGTACCTGTATATAAAAAACGCGCCCTATAGTCCGGTGCGCCTTATGTGTGTGTTAAATACAGAAATGGGACACATAACTGAGAGTGCGCCTTTTAGTCCGGTGCGCCTTATGGTCGTGAAAATACGGTATATATATTCCATCTGTTCTGGAAGATTATTAGATATTGTAGCTTTTACCAATGTCAAAGTATCTAAAATAATGTACCCAACCTGTACTGTAGCTCCCCCAGTATTAGTTTTGACCAGGGGTAAGCTATTGCAGTTCCACGGGACTAGTATCCTGTGACTTTGAATGGTTTGGAGAGTAATAAAGCAAAGGTGAGCAAATGTTAATCTTTAATGACCTTATTTATTTTATGTTAGTCCATAGTTCAGCGTCTGTGAGACTCACCAGGTCAGTCTTTGGCATGTCTTGGTAGTCAGATGAGGAATATGTTGCCGTTTTCCCAAAGATTCCTTCACCTCCAGCTTTCATGGGCTGAGCATACTGTCGGTAGGTGGCGCTCTTTGGAGTCCAGCAGAAGAGGTTGATAGATTCACGAACACAGCGCTCAATATCAATTTCTGCACAAAAAAAAGAAAAAAAAAAGGAAAATAAAAACAATGTGAAATTAGAAAAGTTATTTTTTAACTTTTAAGCCTTTTTTGACAAAACATCACTTTTTTCCACTCTTTGCATAAGACCTTGCAAATTAAACATCAGGCTTGCAAACATAATGCAGCCATTTAAAAGTAAACATGTCACCACAGACCAGGTCAGAGACAGCTGAGGAGACTTCCACCTAGGAAAGCAGCAGGGCAAGGACAAGGTGTGTCCACAGCTACTGAAAACCTGCTCTACTGAACTGAGGGAACCACTACAATGGATTTTCAACCTTAGCCAGCAGCTAAGGAGAGTGCCTACCCTATGGAAGACATCCTGCATCACACCGGTTCCTAAAAAGACCCAGCCCAGTGAGCTGAATGATTTCTGGCCTGTGGCATATACTTCACATATGATGAAGACAGTGCAGTGGATACTCCTCAATCTCCTCAGACCTCAAGTACAACACGCCCTGGACCGTCTGCAGTTTGCATATCAGCAAGGTGTAGGAGTGGAGGACGCCATCCTCTACCTACTACACAGAGTCCACTCCCACCTGGATAAGGGTTGTGCCACAGCAAGTATTCTCTTCCTGGACTTTTCAACACCATCCAAGTATTCTCTTCCTGGACTTTTCAACACCATCCAGTCCTCCCTGCTCAGAGATAAACTGAACAGCATGGGAGTCGACCCCTGCCTGGTGGCATGGATCTCCAGTTAGCTAACACAGTATCCCACAGTTTGTTAGGCTGAAAGACGTCATCTATGACACTGTGGCCAGCAGCACTGGAGCCCCCCAGGGCACAGTGCTTGCCCCTGTCCTCTTCACATTATACACCTCAGACTTCTGTTACAACTCTGAGCTGTGTCACATACAGAAGTACAGAGATGACACAGCCATTGTGGGGTGTATCAGGGACATCAGAGAGGAGGAGTACAGGAGTCTGGGGGGGGGGACTTTGCCCGCTGGTGCCGCATAAACCACCTGGAGCTCAACATCTCCAAGACGAAGGAGTCGGTCATAGGAATTTTGGAGGAATGGACCAAAGACTAAGTGCGGTGCTACTGGAGGAAGCTGAGGTGGAGAGTGTGGATTCATACAAATACCTTGGGGTGTGGCTGGACAATAAACTGGAATGGTCAACACACACCAACCACTTCACAGGAAGACACGGAGCAGGATGTACTTCCTGAGGAGACTGAGGTTGTTCAGCATCTGCAGTAAACTGTTGGAGATGTTCTACCAGTCTGTGGTTGCCAGTGTCCTCTTCTACACCGTGCTGTGTTAGGGGAGCAGTACATCCAAGAAGGATACCCTTCAGACTGAATAAACTGGTGAGGCGAGCCGGCTCTGTGATTGGCAAGAAGCTGGACTCTCTGGGGATTTTGGCAGCGACAAGGACACTTAAACTGCTGGACACTATGAACAAAGCAAGCCACCCTCTCCACACTGTCTTCACCACTCAGAGGAGCCTGATCAGTGGGAGATTGCTCCTCACTAAATGCAAGGTGAAGGAGAAGGTGATAGGAAGAGGGACAAGGGTCAGCACCCCCTCCCCTGACATCTTGTGCAAAACATTACCTATTGTCACTCGTGTACAATATTCTTCTCTCTCACTGTGCAATAACACATGCCAACTACTGTGTAGTCTGTGTACTTTTTGTACTCATTTATAAGGTCATTAAATCTCTGCAGTACAAGTGCAATAATCCAAGTCAACTGTAGTCTTTCCTTAAATCTCTGCTGTTCAGATATAATAATAATAATAATAATAATAATACATTTTATTTAACAGCGTCTTTCTTGACACTCAAGGTCACTTTACAAATAATACAAGAAATAAATACCGTATTTTCACGACTATAAGGCGCACCTAAACGTCTTTTTTTTCCCTCAAAATGTGGGGTGCGCCCTATGGTGCGGTGCGCCATATCTGCGGACGTTGTTGAGACCACCATGAGTATGTGAGAACCCTAAAGGGGGAAGTGTGGGCGTGGCTTGTGTATAAAAGAACAGGTATGTGCTTTATGCAGAAAATTGTTGTCTTAACACATCCTGAAATTGGCAAAGAGACACGCCTATGAAGCCCAGTTTAAACTGAAGGCTATCAGCTACGCAGAGGAACATGGAAATCGAGCAGCTGCGAGAGAATTCAATATAAATGAATCGATGGTTCGCAAGTGGAGGAAGCTGGAAAACGAACTCCGACTGGTGAAGAAGACGCAGCTGAGTTTCCGCGGACATAAGGCGAGGTGGCCCGAGTTGGAGGAAAGACTCGAGCGGTGGATCGTGGAGCAAAGAACGAGTGGGGCGAGCGTTTCAACGGTCACTGTTCGACTAAAAGCAGTAAAGCTGGCGGAAGAAATGAAAATTGAAAATTTTCAAGGAGGTCCATCGTGGTGCTTCCGTTTTATGAAACGGTGCAATTTTTCCATCCGGACCAGGACTACAGTTGCTCAGCGACGTCCGGCGGATTATGATGAAAAGCTGGCGAGCTTCCACTCCTTCTGCAGCAAACACATCGCTGAGAAAGTCATCCAGCCAAGCCACATCACCAACATGGACGAGGTGCCGCTCACTTTCGACATCCCGGTGAATCACACCGTGGAGAAGAAGGGGACCAGCACTGTAGCGATACACACAACGGGGTATGAAAAGGCGTCGTTTACTGTTGTGCTTGGCTGCCACGCAAATGGACAGAAACTGCCGCCTATGGTGATTTTTAAAAGAAAGACTTTGCCTAAAGAGGCTTTCGCAAAAGCCGGCATCATTTCCAAGGAGCCGCCCGGCATGGAAAGTGACTCTGACAGCGAAGAAGAAGGGGAAACTGGCATGTCGGATTTAGCGCAGCTGTTTAATTCAGAAACAGAGGATGAGGACTTTGAGGGGTTTGATTAATACTCTGTAATAAATACTTGAATAAAGCACAATCATACTCAGTTTTGCTCCCGCTCTATTTTTCTACCTGAAAACTTAATTCAACAGCAGCCTCTGGGCCGCGGCACATCCGGGCTCACCTCGGCAGGTGTTTTTTCATCTAAATCTTTTTAAGTGAGAAAGTCCACCTGAAAATTTAATCATTGTAGTCAGTTCATCCAGATTATTATCCTGCCTATGTTTTAAGTTAATTTATGCGTCAATAAACGAAGAAGAAGGGGAAACTGGCATGTCGGATTTAGCGCAGCTGTTTAATTCAGAAACAGAGGATCAGGACTTTGAGGGGTTTGATTAATACTCTGTAATAAATACTTGAATAAAGCACAATCATACTCAGTTTTGCTCCCGCTCTATTTTTCTACCTGAAAACTTAATTCAACAGCAGCCTCTGGGCCGCGGCGCATCCGGACTCACCTCGGCAGGTGTTTTTTCATCTAAATAATCTAAATCTTTTTAAGTGAGAAAGTCCACCTGAAAATTTAATCATTGCAGTCAGTTCATCCAGATTATTATCCTGCCTATGTTTTAAGTTAATTTATGCGTCAATAAACGAAGAAGGGGAAACTGGCATGTCGGATTTAGCGCAGCTGTTTAATTCAGAAACAGAGGATGAGGACTTTGAGGGGTTTGATTAATACTTTGTAATAAATACTTGAATAAAGCACAATCATACTCAGTTTTGCTCCCGCTCTATTTTTCTACCTGAAAACTTAATTCAACAGCAGCCTCTGGGCCGCGGCGCATCCGGGCTCACCTCGGCAGGTGTTTTTTCATCTAAGTAATCTAAATCTTTTTAAGTGAGAAAGTCCACCTGAAAATTTAATAATTGCAGTCAGTTCATCCAGATTATTATCCTGCCTATGTTTTAAGTTAATTTATGCGTCAATAAACTGTATCAGAGGAGTAATCACAGCCCTGTGTCATCAACGATGTGTCTCTCACGGCCGGTTCACAGGTTTGAATAATACTTTGTAATAAATACACCTTGCAGCTTTATTTGCTGTGATCAGTGGGAATAAAGTAGTTTTAATATGTTTTTAAGTGGGAAAATCCACCTGAGAGGACATGTACCTGTATATAAAAAACGCGCCCTATAGTCCGGTGCGCCTTATGTGTGTGTTAAATACAGTAATGGCACACATAACTGAGACTGCGCCTTTTAGTCCGGTGCGCCTTATGGTCGTGAAAATACGGTAAAAAGAGATGAAAATACAAAATACAGATACAGGAACATAAAAAACAAAAAACAATCATGGATAGGGAAAAGAGCAGTATATTCACAGATAAGCGAGCTGGAACAGATGGGTTTTGAGTCTGGCTTTGAATAAGGGGAGAGAGTCAATACTGCGGAGGTCGGGAGGAAGTGAGTTCCAGAGCTGGGGAGCAGAGCGGCTGAAAGCTCTGCTCCCCATGGTGACAAGTATGTTTATATCTAAAGGAAACATATTCCAAGACTTACAACTTTTTTATGCTTTTTTGTACTATATACACTCTTTTTATATTCTCTGTTGTATTTCTTCTTGCGTTAGCTCTGTCCTTTGTACTCTATATAAGCTACTGGAACCAAAATTTTCCTGAAGGAAAAGGGATAAATAAAGTTGAATTTAAGTCAAAGTGAAAAAAAAAAAAAAAACAGGAACTGATTTTAATTAATAAAAAAAAAAAAAAAAAAAAAGTTTTTACAGCACTAGTGGCTCGTTTTTTTATGGACAGTAGGCTGACAGGAAAGGTGGTATGAGAGAGAAGGAGAGAGATGCAGGGAAGCAGCAGAGCCCGAATTCAAACCCGAGTTGCCTGCGTGGAGGACTAAGGCCTCCGTACATGGGTCATGCGCACTAACCACTGCACCACCAAAGCACGCCCTTTAATTGTTTTTTTACAACTGACTGACATCAAAAAGAAAAAGATTCAATAGACAGAATAATTTCTTTCGACCGGATAACACCATCTACTGGTTTATTGTTAAGTTTTTCCAGGTAAAAATTACACTATTCCAGAGATGTTGATCCTTTATGTTAATATAAAAACACTAAGTAATAACAC